AAAGAGCATCATGACAGCAGGGACGACAAATAGGCAAACTGGTGAAATGTGAAATATATATATATTCCACTCCTACTCTCAGTGCCTATGTATTAAACAAACAAACAAACAAAAATCTTATGAATGTATTGTTGCCTTTACTGATATCATAATGACTAAAGAGTTTCCCCATGTTCAGTAATTCCTGACAGTCCACTGTGTGCCACTGGAGGTCATTTCTTTGTTATGAGTAAGTGTCTGATTTCCATGTTCAGCTGTCACCTCACTGGATTTCATACACACACATATATATTTTTTTTCTTTTTAGAGAGGGGAGGGGTGGGAAGGGAAAGAGGGAGAGAATCCCAAGCAGAGGATTAGATACAGAGCTAGATTCTACGACTGACCACGAGATCATGACCTTAGCCAAAATCAAGAGTCAGACACTTCTAATGAGCCACTCAGGTGCCTCTGGACTTCATTTTGAATAGGAAATCTTGACTGAAGAAAGTCACAAAGGAAGACACCTTGCTTTTAGGCTAAGTAAAATATTTCTAGGGTGGAGAGACATATAACTCAATTAGGCATCATTCTATATATTCTTAATATCCAGAGATAGTAGTCTTATTTGGGTTATGATTAATGTAGGGTAGACATCATCTAATTTCACTGTATACCTAAAAGTCATGAAAATAACAGACTTGCATCATTGATTAGGCCCTTATGAAAGTCTTTTAGACAGGTATGCTTGGATTTAACATTTAGAGGGTTGAGCAAGAGGGAAAGGGAGTTGCATTTACATAGCCTGTATGGCATATTATCTCAGAGCATGAGATCTGAGATCAGAGATCAAAGCTGAGCACAGGCTTTGCCTTTTACTAGTTGTGTGACTTTGCACAAATTAATCTCTTAGCATTTTGGTTTCTTCATCTCCAATATATGGATAATAGTTCTGAATTTTTTCCTGTTTGTCAGATTAAAATGAAATAATATATGCAATGTTTTTGGCACAAGGCCTCACACAGAATATGTTCTCAATAAATACGTGCCTTTCAGCATTAAGTTGTGCCAGTTTTTCTCTGTTATTGTATGTCTTGATCTTTTTCCCCTGGAGGTTTAATTCTGCCATTTGGATATGGCCAATGAAAGGTTGGGCAAGAAATGAGAGGGTGGGAGGAAAAGAAGGGGTATTCATTTCCCCTGCTCCCTCCTGGTGGGGCTTCAGTTTGGGCTCTAGCTGCATTCCTCTTCCTATGCCCCAGCTCCTGTCCAACAGTCCCTCTCCCATAGCTAGAGTTCACAGTCAACCTGACAATGCTCCCTTTTCATGCCTAGGATTAGTAATGGCTTTTCTTCCCACTGTTACTTCAGATGCTTTCTTCTCATTATTGTTTGTCCTTAGGTGCTCCACCATCTTTTGTCAGTTCCTTTAACTGCCTCTGTAAACAGTCCTTTTATTAAACTTTCTTCAGTTAAATCCTTTATATGTGTCACTAGTTTTTGCTGGGACTTTGACATACATAAAATAACAATCTGTTGACAAATCATTTTAAAATATCGTTAAAAGCGAATACAAGACAATTCTTAATCCAACGGGAAGTTTATTGGGATGGTGGTGGTTTGTTGTGGTGATATAAGCCTACATTTGTGAATTTTTTTAATGCTTATTTACTTTTGAGAGACAGAGCATGAGTGGGGAAGGAGCAGAGACAGAGGGAGACACAGAATCAGAAGGAGGCTCCAGGCTCTGAGCTGTCAGCACAGAGTCCTGAACCTTGATATCATGACTTAGGCTGAAGTTGGAAGCTTAACCCACTAAGCCACCCCAGGCCCCCCAAACCCACATTTAGGTAGCCTACCTGGCATATTATTTCACAGCATGAGATTCAAGATCAGAGATCTAAGCTGAGCACAGGCTCAACAGGGGGTGGTGGAGGGAAAGGTGGAGTTCTCTTCCACATGCATAAAACAAGATCATATCCACAGTATCAAAATGAGCGAGAGGATTACGGAGAAAGTAAGGAAATGTGATTGGCTATCATGGGAAGTGTACATTTTGGGGTTTTGGTAGGCAGAATAATGGTCTCCCAAAGATGTCATGTCCTAATCCCTAGAACCTGTGAATGTTACCTTATATGGCACAAAGGACTTGCCATGTGTGATTAAATTAAGGATCTCGAGACAGGGAGATTATCCTGCATTATGTAAGTGGGTCCAATGTAATTAGAAGGATCTTTATAAGAAAGACTCAACAGGGTCAGAGTCAGAGAAAGAAATGGATGATGAAGCAGTCAGAGAGAAAAATTTGAAGATGCTATACTGCTGGCTTTGAAGATGTAGGATGGACCCACAAGCTAAGGAATGCAGGTGGCCTCTAGACGCTGGAAAAAGCAAGGAAATGGATTTTCCCTGATAGCCTCCAGAAGACATATAGCTCTGTCTGCACCTTGATTTTAGCCTAGAGATACTTCTTACAGAACTGTAAGACAGTAAATTTGTCTTATTTTAAACCAATTAATCTGTGGCAATTTGTTACAACAGAAACAGGAAACCAATACGGGCGTAGTAGGAGAGAGAGGGTGCTGGATTAGAGCAGACCCTGAATGGTCAGTTGAGAATTTTGGATTTTATCTGAAGACAATAAAGAACCATCAAAGTATTTTTGTTTGTTTGTTTTACTAAAGACTAAGATATAATTAAAATTACTTATTAGGAAGATAGATTAGAGGTTGGGTTCAGATTGGCAGCAAGAGCACTCTACAGGAGTGTGCACTGGTAGGGATGGTGATGAGACCCCAGGTTAGGTGTGGACTCTGAACTGACCAGAAGTTTCCAGGAAAGCTGACACTATGATGACTCACTGGAAGACCAGCAAAGGAGAGGAAGAAGTCAAATTTCAGGTCCTTATAAAATGGGCATATTATAGCACATATGAGGAACTGACTGATTCTGAACAATAAATTCTAATTTAAATATGATTGACTTTTAGGTACATGCACATATACACATACACAAAAAGGACTTAAGTATTATAATTTAGGGTGCCTGGGAGGCTCAGTCAGTTAAGCGTCCAACTTCGGCTCAGGTCATGATCTTGCGGTCTGGTCTGTGAGTTCAAGCCCAACGTTGGGCTCTGTGCTGACAGCTCAGAGCCCAGAGCCTGCTTTGGATTCTGTGTCTCCCTCTCTCTCTGCCCCTCCCCCGCTCATGCTCTGTCTCTCTCTCTCTCTCTCTCTCTCTCTCTGTCAAAAATAAATAAACTTTAAAAAAAGTTTTAGAAATATCTATATGTTATTCTTCTTTAAGTCCCTTTCTGCCTTAATATGCCTTACCAACAATTGCAGAAAACCCACAGCATGCAACTTGTGACTGTTTTAGGCATGGGTGAATAGAGCAGTTAAACCTAAAAGATCTTCAGTATACGAAATCATAACTTTTTGACCTCTATTTTTTTAAAGTTTCATTTTAAAGTTTATTTATTTTGAGAGAGAGAGAGAGAGAGAGAGAGAGAGAGACAGAGAGAGAGATGTGAGCAGGGGAGGGGCAGAGAGAGCGAGGGAGAAAGAAAATCCCAGCAGGCTCCAGGTGCAGAGGCTGAGAACAGGGCTGAAACTCACAAACAGTGAGATCATGGATCATGACCTGAGTTGAAATCAAGAGTCAGCTGCTTAACCTACTGAGCCACCCAGGGGCCCTCATTCTTTTTTTTTTTTTTTTTTTTTTTTTTGCGGAGGGGGGATGCGCAAACTTCATTTGATCCTTTCTGCACTACTGACTGCCTTTTTGGTAAGTTGAAAAAGGTACAACTTGAATAGTCAGACAACTTCAGATTTTACACAACAACAAAAGGCAAACAACCTCTAAAAAGTTTGAGCTGGAGAGACATCACATAGGTCAAATAAGTGTAAAGGGCAGTGACAGTAGCTGGTAAGTTAAACCATTCACTGGCTGTAAAGCTGTTCAGAAGTCTCTACTGTTTGGATTACTGGACACTTCCTGAGTAGTAGAAAATGTTTGGATGAAAAGTCAGTAGCTCATAATTAACTCTCTTAATACCACCTCACTATGTAAAACGTTTTGCTTACTAATAATCCATTTCTCAGAGATCTTCGTAAGAGGTAACCAGGCTTGAACATCCAAATCAGGGTAAACCGGCCAGGTAATTCCCGTTTTTAATGGCAAAATGCTGAATTAACTAGTACTCAGAAGCATGCCAGCAAAAAAGACACTGAACACTGAATATTGATGATATGCTAAACCCAACCATTAACCAAACCATTAATCAGGTCACTTTCTTTCCAGTTTTCACCACTACAACTTCTCCCCTCAGTCAGTAACTGGTAAAAAAGATCTGACTGTGGGTTAATCATTTGGAAAATCTTAGGAGTGATATGATTCAACATTTTTCTGAATTGGATATAACTTTGTATTTCCAGTGTTTTTTTAAGTCCTCATGAAAAATACCTTTTATACACACGTAACAATACGATACTTTGCATTAAAAAATGGTCTGCTCTGTGACAGTTACAGAGTAAAGGCTCTCTATCCCTTTCTCCATTTCAAAAAGTTCCTCCTCATCCTTGACAGCAACAAAATGCAAAAATGCCCACCCTTGAGTAACCTGAGGGTAGGAACTTTGCATATAAATCAGGCGCCCTCTAGTTTCTTCCCTCCCGAGGAGCGGGGTTAGGAGGGGAAAGGCCATTCAGTAAAGTCCTAAAATACAGTGTAAACTGTCAAAACAAGTCTGTAGAGTCGCATCTACCTTGTCAAGTTTTCAGCGCTGTCTCCCTGCTACCACCGAGGGGGAAGGTTTTGAAACACATCAAAACGAGTAACGAAAACGAAACGCAGAAACTCCTTTCTGTACTCAGACCTGCCCAGACTACCTGAGCGCCCCAAACTGGACCAGCGCTCCATCCACCCCTCTGGGCCAGAGCTCTCCGTCTCCCTCTACCCAACAACCACAACAAGCCCGGAGCCCCGCGCGCAGATGCCCAGAGACAAGCAGGGTCGCTCACCGGTGAGGAGCCAGCAGCGGGCGACAGCCAGCCCTGGGCTGGCTTGGCGTCGGGGGGCCATGGCCAGAGAGCCCGCAGAGCCCGGGGACGCGCTGGATCGGCGGGCAGGACTCGGCGGGACTGGGAACGGAGCCGCGCGCTCAGGGCCACTCTACCGCCGCAGGTCTGCGTCCGGCCCCGGCCAGTCGCGGCGCGCAGAAGCCGAAGAGTGAATTTCCTGTGTTTTGGACGAATGCCTCTGAGTCCTCTCCACGCTCCTCATATCCCAGACTTACTGCCCCATCGCCCGCCCCTTCGCGTGCTCGGTTTCTGAAATCCCACTGGCAGTCTCCCAGGCTCTGTCCGAGACATGGACAAATAAAGCCAGCTTCGCGGGTTCGTGTTTAGGCTAAAGTCCACCAGCTACAAAGCAAACCTTAAAGGGATATCTGCCTTTCATTGAGAGGGTGATGCCGCCCTCCGGCTAACTCCCTACGGTGGCAGGAAGGCGGGCGAGGGCTGGACCTTCGGAGGGTGTCGCCAGTGCAGTGGCCCCGCCTTCACACCCCTAACTTCTCCCCTGGGTCTGCTCGGGGAGAGTACTTTCAACGTGCCCGGGCTTCTCGGCCCTTAAGGGGAGGCTGCTTCCCTGGGGCCCGATTGCGCAGAAGGAATTCGACGGTCGCTGAGAGTGAGCAGGTCTGGTCTCCCCACCTCGCTTCCTGTGGACACTTGAACTTCGCCGTGCTGTGGTCTGGCGCTAAGCGTGTGGATGTGGGAGGGGAGGGGGCGTCTACTCCCGCACGCCCCCACTGAAAGGGTTTTGCTTTCCCTTATGGAGGGTTTGCTTCGTTTGATCGTGGTTAAACGGTGGTTGCAGATAAACTTTAATTTGGGAAGACTTATAAGTTGGAGAAAAGGAGAAGGAAACAAGAATGGGAGAAAAAAGAAAAGAAACAGAAATGCAAGAGGGAAGAGGGAGGTTAAAGAAGGGAGGAAGACAGTCTCTTCAGAAACGGTATGTGTGTGGGCTATTTTGTGTAAGTTGAATGAGAATGTTTGTACACTGGGAAACTGAATCTAATAAAGAACCTGGGGACTGTTTTATTTCTTCTTGCTGAAGACTTTTATAACTAGGAGTGCGTTAAATCATGTTCATGGTACTCCATCCTCTCCCCCTCCCACTACTCCAGGGAACTAAAAATTGGGAAGTTAAGTTGACGGGTCAAAACGCCTGAGAATGTTACCCCACCCTGGGAGACCCAGGCCAGTAAAAGCACTTAAGAATTTGCAAGGATTCCCTTACTTATCCTGTGAGTTGTACAGCCTCCCTGTTAAGAGCCACATCCACATGTTAGCTTCACTTGCTTTTGTTTTTTGTTTTTTTTTTTTTTTTTTTAAAGCAGCCCTGTCTTAATGGTTTTGAGAATTTCAAAGAAAGGGAAGGAGTGGATGAGTGGATTTGTGTTTACACCTGGTGCCTGGAATCCATTCTATTCCATTCCATTCAATTCAAAGCAGCTACCAATTGAGTATCTCTCTCTAGCAGGACTAGGGCTAGGCAGGACTAGAGTGCCACCCAAAGGAGGACTCTGCCTAGGACACAATACAGGTGACAGTATAGGTAACCCGAGAGAAGGGAAGGGAGAAGCCACAGCGATGATTGGATAGAGTGCCACCAAACAGGATGACAGGGACTAACAGTTGGAAAAGACAATAAAGAAACTTAATGAAGATCAAAAAGATGGTCAGCCCTGAGATGATGAAAGCCATCAAATGTCAGTAACATAACCCATCAGCTAAGGAATTTTTCTCTAATTTATTTATATGAAATGATTACCTAGTTGAATATGTTAAAAATACTGCTTTTCCCTGTTTCCAACTTTCATATTTTCATTTCTTAGTCCTATTTTCAAAATATTTATTTATTGCACAAATAAGTCTCTGGAGAAAACCTCATGTTGGATCACAGTTCAAACTCATCAGACATTACTGAGGCTCCATTGCCTATATTCAGTGTTCTTGTATCCCAGTTGGGCTTTCCAGCCTATCTTCATTAACTGGTATCGTCAACCTGCCTCCTTTTCCTGGGAAAGCCTTGCCAAGTAATTTCTACATTTCATCTCCCTGTCTATAGTCTTAGTTATGTCTTCTGCCTCCGTATGGCACGTGAGGATTTGCACAATAATCAGTAAATACTGCTTAACTGATTAACCGATAAAAAACTGATAAAGTGATTAATGTTTAGACATTTAAAAATCATGATACATACTTTCCCCAAAATATCTCTGCAAATTGTTCTGTTTTCATAAACAATAGTGTGTGTATATATATGTAAACATATGTATATACACACACATATATATATATATATGTATAGACATATACACATTTGGAGCTCTAGAAAATTACAATATTATTTTTAAATGAATTTTTTATTCATTTTTGAAAGAGACAGAGAGAGAGAGAGCACAGGTAGGGGAGGGGCAGAGAGAGAGGAACACAGAATCCGAAGCAGGCTCCAGTCTCTGAGCTGTCAGCACAGAGCCGGATGCAGGGCTCGAACCCAGGAACCCTGAGATCATGACCTGAGCCAAAGTCACACACCTATCCGACTGAGCTACCAGGCACCCTGAAAATTATAATATTATTGAATTAGAAAGACATAAAAAGAGAAATTATAAAATTCTATCTTATTGAAATAAAGTAGGGTTAAAACATGCTTGTATGATCAAGGCTATAATTATTGGGAACTTTAACTTTCTTTGGGGGTTAACAAATACTTTGAATTAAAAATTTTTTTATAAAGTTTATTTATTTTTGAGAGAGACAGAGGCAGCATGAGTGGGGGAGGGGCAGAGAGAGAGGGAGAGAGAGAATCCCAAGCAGGTTCTGCACTGTCTGCACATAGCCTCATGCGGGCTTGAACTCACAAAACCATGAGATCATGACCTAAACCAAAACTAAGAGTCAGATGCTTAACTGATTGAACCACCCAGGCACCCCTTGAATTTAAATTTTTGAAAATCTTCTCTAAGACTTACAAACTAATGGTGATAACCAGCACTACCAGTGCTGTGGTTAGTTTACTTCCATATGTGTTAGGAATCTTATGACAATATTTATTAATCTTCCTCATTTCACATCAATGCAAATATAAAGACTGAGAAAGTAGTTATTGCTGGAGAATTAAATTTAGATTCAGTGCTCATTTTCTGAACTTCAATAAATCTTAACACAAATCAATTTCAGGCAAGCTATTTTCTTAACTAATTTTATCCTGACTGACAAGAAGACATGTTATTGAGTAAACTGAGGCTTAGAGAAGATTAAAAACTAGGGTCACAAACTAGTCATTACATGGGGTCACTTGACAGCAAATGCTAAGCTCTAGACTTTGTACAATATACTCTTCTATTTTAAATGAGATCTAATATGATTAGATCCCTGTGACAATTTGGAAATATGGGTGAAAATTAGAAGTACCCTGAGAGGTTAGAGACTGAACTGATTAAGAATTTAGAACACAGAGTCTATGAAATAAAGCAAAGTAATTGGGATTACTGGTTAGTATCTCAAAAAGAAAAACTTATACTTCATACAAAAGTATTCTCCTTAGAGGTAATCTAATATATTAAGTATAATTACTGGAGTAAGTAGGTTCTTGAGTTAAACTCCCTAGATTCATGCCCAAGAACCACCATGTGGTAGCTGTGTGATCTAGGAAAAGTTACGTAGTTTCTGTGAGCCTCAGTTTTCTCAAACATAAAATGGGGATAAAATACTGCTTTTCTCTGAAGAATGTTATGAGGATTATATGAGATGAGCCCATGAAACATTTAGCAAAAATGCCTGGATTACAGTAAATAGAAATGAATCATTCTTCTTCTTCCCAGTTGTAGGAGAATTAGAATTAGACAATGGGAACACAGGGCAGGGCCTGTGTGGGATGGGCCCTAAGGAAGTGACACCATTTGCTAGGCATCAAAAGGGAAGGTTAGTGTTTGGCCAAAATCATCTCTATCAACTCTTATCATTATTTCTGGAATGTTTACCTGAAATACTTACTTTGTATTAGGGAATTATCTTGAACATATCCCTATAAAATGGGTATACATTAAGAAATTAAAGCCCATTATGATATTAACAAGGATTTGCTTTTCAAATTAGCTACGTGTCAAGGGGATTTTTTAAAACAAGAAAAAATATTTCACTAAGGAGTTGGAAATAGGAGAGGGTCTAGAGTTCTGCTTCTGATATAGGTCAGTGTTCTTTGGTAGTTAGATCATGGGTTCTCAAAGCCACAGGATAAATAAGGTACTCCCACCCAGATAGAAGAGCAGTGTCAATTTTTATTCAATCATAAATACTTTTTAAGTTGTTTTATGTTAAAATAACAGATTTTTATAAGAAAAATATAAAATTACATTTTTAAAAAGTTAAATATGAGGTTTAAAATACATTTTAGCATTGGGGCACCTGGGTGGCTCAGGTGGTTAAGCTTCCGACTATGGCTCAGGTCATGATCTCACAGTTCCTGAGTTCAAACCCCGTATCATGCTCTCTGCTGTCAGTGCAGAGCCCTTTTCAGATCCTCTGTCCCCTCTCTCTCTGCCCCTTCCCTGCTCACGGGCTTTCTCTCCCTCTCAAAAATAAACAAACATTTAAAAATACATACATACATACATACATTTTAGAGTAGCATCAAATTGTACTTTCTTCCCTCCTTTCCACCTCAGAGGTGTTAAGGGTAGGTGGTATTTACAAAGATTTCATAAAGATTCAGACTTTAAAAATTTTACTATGTATGTATTCAGGGAGTTGCTTTCCAAGAGAGTGATGCTAACTCACATGGGGAGCTTAATTTATTTAGTTGAATAAGTTTTAAATTCCTGTTGTGTACTGGACTCCAGCACTACGTTCTGCAGAGGCAAAAATCGGTAGAACACTTGTTTTTCTACTGAAAATCTGCTGTCCATTAATTTCTTTCACTTGTAACTAGGGACAGAAAACAAGCAGTTTTGGTCTCAATTATAACATTGCCATATTTCATCTTAAGCCTGTTAAATTAAACAGTCCAGTGAAATTACCATATTAGTTGTTGTTACTTCAACTTGAGAACC